CATTCAACTGTGCACTTGGAGTTGCCCAGGAAGGAGATCTGAGTGTGTAGGACCACAAGTGAATTGCACCATGGCAATCTTTCCAGGACCCCAGTCTGGACAGCAGACTAGACAACACAGAACTCAGCTGCTCCCCAATCTAGATACAGCAAATAATACTGAAATACTCTTACAAATCCCAAACTCATCCTATTGTGCCAGGTTATGCTGTGTAAATTTTTTCCATCTTTCTTTAATTAAAAGTGTGCCCTGAGTTCAGCAGTAGCAGTCATGGTACTGCATTTCCTAAAAGATCCTAAGTTTTCATTAAGAATAGAATGATATTTCGTATTGCAAAAACCTCTGTCTGAACAGTATGAACAAAGTTTATAATTTCATATGGAGAACCTGGAAGGGTCAGACTATAAGGTGAAGATTCTAGATTATAAATAAAACACCTGCTTAAGATAACGCTAAAATAATGAACACTAATCACTTATTTCCATCCTAATAACTAGTCCTTAGAAGACTCAAGCTAGAAACCTGGCATTTGCTATCTAAGTAGACATAATACCATTATTCTCAAGCAGAGTCCTTACTATTGTGTATACAAACCCTTCCCTGTGCATAAAAGTAATCGTCCCTTTATGCAGCCATTCTTCAACCCCTCAGCATGCAGCCCCTCTCTCCACTTGAAGAACTGATGCAGTAAGCCACCTGTGAAGTCATTACCCACTCTGACAGGTTGCTGGTAAAGAACCACAAGACACTGAGACAGGCATGGTTTCCTTGCCTTCCCCATTTAAAGAAACAAATCCAATATATATGATTAAGTAGATGGACTGTACCTATCTTTGGAGCACCGAAAGCAATCCTGAAGCCCTTAGATCTGTAGGCAACAATAATGACAGACTTACTTTCTGAAATCTGTAAACAAAATAAATGTGTGAGCATAAATCTGATGCTAACAGCCATATATGTGAACTTCTACATGATGATTACTGCATACGTACATTAATTAGTAGAGAGGAAAGTCTGGAATACAGAATTTTAAAAAGCAGAAATAACTTGCGCAATGTTCTTTTGATTTAAACATTTTAAGCAGAATTTGTTTTCTAGGAGACTTTCTGAACAGAAAAACAGAAAAACTGTTGCTCCCTCATGCAGTGGCTTTACATTAAGTCTACACTACATTTAAAAAAAAAGAAAAACAGAATTAGAACCTTTAGAAAAGTTATTCAAATACAAGGGGTAGAGGGGAGTCTGTAAAATTCTATTGTGCGCAATACTGATTTAGCACTGCTAGAGACCTTCATCTGCCTAAATACACTTATAAGAAGGAAATGTCAGATAATCCTTGGTGTTGGTAAAATTTTGAATGTTAGATCAGCTGCAAAGCAAGCTCCTTCCTCTTTTGATCTTGGTGTGGGAATGTGAGGTCAAAGCTGCTGTGGTATTACTTACTTTCATGGGTTTTGCAGGGGCAAAAGATATATTGGTTTGTATAACTCCCCAGTAAAAATCCTGTTCCCTCTCACAATGGAACAATGGAAGAGTTGTAAACTTTCTTTTCTTTGAGTCTCAAAGAAACAAACTAATCTTGGAAGTGACATTTTCTAAGCTCTAAGGTTTTTTTGATACGATCCCAAATCAGTCCAAAGAAATCTAAAATAAAAGCTAAGTTGCTAGTGACATTTCAGCTGTAGATCCTCCACCTATAGAAACTTGAATGGTCCTGACTGAATTTAATTGAAGTGATAGATTCACTGCAATTTTAAAAATTAAAGCCAGTTTCTCTCATTTTTTCTCAATAATGTTAACGAGTTGTAAACTTGAAAATGATTTCACTCATGCCTAATGGATTCATGGCATTGTTTGGTAAATTGCTTGTTTTGTCCAAATTACCAACAACCACCACCAGATCCTAAGCCCAGATCTTCTAATGAACCTCATATGCTGAGACACAAGTTGTCCACCATTTGCAAGTCTGAATTTCCTGTGTAAAACAGGTAAATTCTGATTATTATACTTGGACAACATTGTTTGAAATTTAATGCTTTGGAAGCCATTTTGAATGTATAAATAAAAAGCATTATAGAGTTGCCAAATTACAAACCATTAGCTATCATCTAATAGTGAAGTGACACAATATCACCCAATCTAAAAGCTCTAGTCCAAAATATTGGAACTTGATTTTCAGTTCCTGAATCTAAATAAAAGTTGACAAAAATTGCCTTATCTGTCTGTGAACGGGAAGGCTAAATCAAATCATCCATGAAACAAAACCTCCTGAAATGCAATTCTGTCTGCAGACTTTCAGGGTTCCCTTTTATTTTGAAAATGTAATGTTGAACTACTTATGTATATACAGTGGAATGCAACAAAAGAAATGACAAATGAACCACTTAAAGCAATCACGCAGAAACTGGCTAGAGCAGATATTCAGACTTGTCTTGAATTACATTCTTAGGTATGTGTGCTGTTACCTCTGAAAGGTAAGGTAGCAATTATCGTAAAGGTCTTTATGTCCTCAGCAACCCAAACAGCAGAGCAAGCAATTGAGTAATCAGCTGAGCCCATGACTCTTCACATGGGCAATCATTGGCAGGGGAACCTAAGACATGCAAGGTTTGGGTTTTTTTTTTCATTATATGTTTTGACAGTTCATGTGCAAATCTAGTCAGATTCAAGTGAAACTTTTTATTACTTTGCTTTTAATTAATTTTGTTTGTTTGCTCTTTAGTGGTTTGTTTTGGGGTGTTTTTGCTTTTTTTTTTTTTTGCTAAGATTAATCTTTTATGTGCAATTTTTTACCAAGAGAAAAGCCAGTGACCTTGAAAGGAAACTACTGCAGGTGGAAGGTTTGGATCTTAGGGTTCTTCCTCGGTGTCATTCCAGAGTTAGTACAAAGGTCCCTTTTTAGAGCTGGTTGTTCAGTCATCAGACTGCTGTGAGACAGTGAAGCCAAAGATCACAGTCAAAACAACAGCTGATACTGGAACTGGTCACAGCAAACTTGTTGCAGGGGAGGTCATTAGTCTTAAGTGTCAACTGGCAAACACTTTGAAATCTGTATTTGCTGCTTTGAAAGAATTTTCTTCACAATATGTCCTTTGCCAGAGGTTAGAGAAAGGAGACAAAGGATATTTTTATTACAGGCCGATTTAATCAACTCGTAAATGGAATGGCAGCAACAGGTCAGCAAACTTCTGTACCTTGAATACTGCTTTCCAAGTGAAGGGCAGTAATTAGCTGAAAAATGCAAGGTTGCTGAGCTGTTCTTTAACGTTTTTTAATTTATTTATAGTGAAGAAGAGTGTGTTCTAAATCTCTGTAGTGGCTTATAATAATGAGGGTTTCTCTAATCTTTCCCACGCTGGAAAGGTGTTGATAATTCTAAAATGAAATAGTTCCTAAAACACAATTCAGTCATTTTCTTCATAGTTCAAAGTTATTTGCATAAGATATATCACTCTTCGCAAATATTTACTTTGCTATAGCCAAAGACATTGCAAATTATACGTGATGGGTTTGAACTCCTGTCTTTCACTCTTGTCTTTGAGTCTATGTCTTTCACTCTTGCTGGGTTTCAGAAGCATGAGGAGAGAAAAATAATTTCTTTCTCAAATAAGGTCCAATGTGGGCTTCAAAGTGAAAGACCTGAATTCTACCTATAAAATTTGATTACAGTCTGATTAAAAAGATTGGGGGAAAAAAGGAGCTGTATTCATGGGCTCATTACAGGCACAAAAAGGGGATGCTCATACAGACCATAGAGAATTTAAAAATTTATTTATGATGTATTACTGTAATTTTTAATTTAGACATGCAAATTTTTTAATTTGCACTGACTGCTTTGCCTTAATGGTTTTGATTAATACTTGGAGGTAGTGTTTGTGAAAGAGATTTATACTGTGATTCATCTGCAAAATAATCAAATCATTACCAGCTAATGACAAAGCTGTGAAAAATGATATAGATATTGTGTAAGTCCCAGCTACTGCAGTGCATGTAAAGGTGCCCAGTACTTCCAGCAAATGTGGACTTGTATTAATAACTGCTCAGAAGTTTGCTCTAGGTCCCTTCTAATTTGGTAACAAAAAACATTGATCTTAATAAAGCTGTCTGATAAAAGTAGAAGTGATTAACATCCCTGAACCCTACGTTCTACTGAACATGCCAAGGTTGGAGACACCCCTTCTGTTGACCCAGAAGGGAGACCTCATAGGAATTTCTACCTATCTCTGCATTTTACTTCAGTAGTCACAAACTGTAAGGTTTTGTGACAAACTGTAAGGTCTTGTGACAAACTGTAAGGTCTTGTGACAGGAGAGTCCTCAACAACAAGACTAGATATCATCAGTGGCTTTTATTATTGAAAAATAAAAAAATAGAAAATTATTGCCTGTAGCTTCCTAAGCATTTTGCAATTACACCTTTCTTGCTTCCTATCACAGACTTTTCCCTTCATTTTCTTTTCTGCTAAATAAAAAACTAATGAAACAATTACTGGGCTGCTAATATACAATATTTTTTGCAGCATAAGTGCATGTACACAAATGTAGATGGGTTAACACTCAGGCATGCAAAGTCCAGAATCTTAGACATGTCTCTGGCTGGAGACAATTTCAAAATAACCCCATAAAGTTATCTAGAGAGACATTCTCTTGCTTGACTTCAAGCTGCTTTTTATGGATTTATAGTAGACTTTCTTTTTGTTTTCCTTTTTTCAAAAAGATTTTCCTAAGGAGTAGATGAATCAGGACTTTCTGCTGAAAAACAGGAAAAAAACAGGAAGAGAAACTAGTTGCACACCAGCTTGTGAATTTACACCTCTAAACCAAACTAGATCAACAGATGCAAACTACAGTACACCTATTAAAAACAGTAAAGCTGTATGTTTTTAAACCAGCTTCTGACGTTGTCATGTTAGTTCCATGGATCCAAGGATGTAGTTTCACCTGAGCACTTAAATTTAAATGTGCGTTGCAGCCTCCCTCCTCCCCCTTGCCAAAACATACCTTACTGATGTTTCACTTGTATTCAGGGCTGATTCAGTTCAGTTCACTGATCTGACAGAAAATTAACACATAAAAAAATACAGTTAGTTTATTGATGTGACTCACTCAGGAGTTGCACTATTGCTACAGTTGAAGAAAGTGAAGTAGGGGGAGCATGTGTGCAGGGAGGGCAGCACACTGCCCTTTGGACAGCAACCTTGTTGTTAAATCAGGTCAAGCAATAAAATCGCCTTTATTACTCCATGGCATATAGTGGGACCTCAAGCCAAATAGAAGTCTCACAAAATGCAACCACATTATCCAAGTTCTCATTTTCTAAGCAGACCCACTCAGACCTCTTCATGATCATAAACCTATCCTCTGATTTTTCTTCCTGTGTGATTCATGCTTTCTCTGCCCTTCCACAACAGCCTCTAAAACTTCAGCAGCCAGCTTATAGATTAACAGCAACAACTTTTTTCTGCCAAACCCTTCTGTAAAAATTGGTTGTTTGATACAGTGATTCAGCTATTATCACTTGAATATCAAAACCTAGCCAACTCCCTGCCTTGGAGGAATGCCAGTCTGCGGTGTATACACTCAGTTTTTGGATCCCATGAGTCTGTCAGCTTATGTACCCTCCTCTGAGCACAGGCTTCAAGTATCTGAGTTCACATGTCAATTTAGTCAACTGATGGGTAAGCAATCTCAAGCCTGACCTACCACCAGTCAAACAAATTTCACGGGCAGGGTTCAGACCAAAGGCAGTCCTACACCACAGCTGACTTTCCACAGTGCAGAAGTAGTCTAGAGGGTGAGCCAAAGTCTACCTATGAGCAGCCAGGAAAATTTAACTTAAATGTGAACTTAAATCTAAATGAACGTGATAGAACAGAAGTGTCTACTGAGTCCCTAAATCCTTTCTGTTAAGTAGAGCTATGCCACACTCAAGAGGACTTTTCTCTACAGCATGCTCTCAGTTGTGAACAGCAAGTGTGGCCACTTTACCATTAGGTTTAACACTCCACAGCTCTGCTTTCCTCAATGCCCTTTGCCATCCCCCAGCTGTTTATTCGTTCTGCCTCAGCTTTTGCATTATTGTGGTTATTGCTATTCTGTCACTGTTCTGGGTAAGAAGAATTCTACAGAAACAGAGAATTGCGGGTAAATCACAGACTCATAAAATCATACAATGGTTAGGGTTGGAAAGGACCTTAGGATCATCAAGTTCCAACCCCCCTGCCATGGGCAGGGACACCTCACACTAAACTGTATCACACAAGGCTTCGTCCAACCTGGTCTTGAACACTGCCAGGGATGGAGCATTCACAGCCTCCCTTGGCAACCTATTCCAGTGCCTCACCACCCTAACAGGAAAGAATTTCCTCCTTATATCCAATCTAAACTTCCTCTGTTTAAGTTTGAACCCTTTACCCCTTGTCCTGTCACTACAGTCCCTAATGAAGAGTCCCTCCCCAGCATCCCTATAGGCCCCCTTCAGATCCTGGAAGGCTGCTATGAGGTCTCCACGCAGCCTTCTCTTCTCCAGGCTGAACAGCCCCAACTTCCTCAGCCTATCTTCATACGGGAGGTGCTCCAGTTCCCTGATCAACCTTGTGGCCCTCCTCTGGACTTCTTCCAACAGTTCCATGTCCTTTTTATGTTGAGGACACCAGAACTGCACACAGTACTCCAAGTGAGGTCTCACGAGAGCAGAGTAGAGGAGCAGGACCTGCTTTGACCCGCTGGTCATGCTTCTTTTGATGCAGCCCAGGAAAGGGTTGGCTTTCTGGGCTGCAAGTACACACCGAAGCCGGCTCATGTTCATTTTCTCATTGACCAACGCCCCCAAGTCCTTCTCCATGGAGCTGCTCTGAATCTCTTCTCTGCCCAACCTGTAGCTGTGCCTGGGATTGCTCCGACAAGTTATTCTCAATTGCATCCACAAACAAGCCCCTGCAATCTGCCCTACTTCAAACCCCAGCAAACAGAGTGGAGTTCTTTAGATCTAACTACTACTTCATTATTCAAAATTAGTACTTAAAATATATAACTGTATATTGTGCTAGATCGAATTTATAGCTGTTATTGCTGTTTAGCTATTAATTGCCAGACTCCAGTGCTTGCCATGGGGCTTGCTTGTTTTAATGCATATTAGAGTCTAGTGCTTGTTAGCGGCTGCTTTTTGCTTTTTCTTCTTGCTGTAGTGCTGTACTGGTTAACATCTTACTCTGCTGTGCCTGGGAACATTTTGGTAACAGCAGTGGCTATGCACCACCTGTTTCTGTGCTCTACTGGATAGGCTGGAACTCCAGTGTGAACTTGAGTTGAAGGGACTGTTACCTGTGGCTGAGCCCATGTGGGAGCAGGACACCCTGAAGCATCTGTGTCTGTAGATAAACTCATGGCACACCATATATATCTCAAAGCACTGGTGGCTGTGGTTATGTCTGTGCAGGTGCACCTCTGAAGGGATTGTGGCCCAAGGAGAAGGTACACCTCGAAGCATGCATGAGGTCACACTGGAGCACCCCAAAACATGTGGCCAAGAATAAGCCAACAACAGAGCAGGTACACCCCTGGAGGAACTGCAGCTAGGTGTAAGGTCATGTTAGAGCAGGGTCACTCCTGAAGGGACTGTGGCTGTGTGAAAGGCCACGCTGTAGCAGGTATACCTCTAAAGGCTCTGTTGCCCATGGACAAGGCCACACTGGAAAAGGTGCACCTCAAAATTGTTGTGGCTGTGGATAAATTCACCACAGCAGGTATACCCCTGAAGAGACTGTGGCACATAGATAAGGCTCCACTTGGAGCAGGTACTCCCCTAAGGGACTGCAGTCTGTGCATAAGCCCAAGCCAGAGCAGGGGAAAGGAAAGGGTTCATTGCAACCCCAATGGGACCTGGGGTGGGGAGAACATTGTAATGGAAATATCTTTAGATCATTGTAGCCCATGATTTGAGTTGCATGTTATAGGAAGTACTATAGCAGGAATCACCTGAACCAATGGAGGACAAGCTTTACAAGCAGCAATGCAAGTGCAGCAGTGACCCCACTGGAGCTGAATTTAATGCCCAGTAACTCCACATAACACACCATCTCTCTTGTCCTGAGTGACCACCATAACAGATAGATCCCAAAGTAATGAACTATATTAACTCAGTGGATATCTTCTGGCCATTTTACAGACATTTTACAACGTTCTATAGACTAGAGAAATGATATCTGTGTATTATACTAGAGGATGGGAAGGACGGTTGGTGGTTAATGAGATTGTATTGGACCTGAGGATTACATAAATCGTAAGGAATAAGGGATGGACAATGGTTTTGGCTGGGATAGAGTTAATTTTCTTCATAGTACCTAGTACAGGGCTATATTTTGGATTTGTGCTGACAACAGTGTTGGTAACACAGGGATGTTTCTGTTACTGCTGAGCAATGCTTGCACAGAGCCAAGGCCTTTTCTGCCTCTCACACCACCCCACCAGCGAGTAGGCTGGGGATGCAGAAGAAGTTGAGAGGGGACACAGCCAGAAGAGCTGTTGGGAGGAGACTTACCCTGGTAACATATTATAGGATATGCCCTCAGCAATTAAACTTGGGAAGTTTTGGAAAGGGTGTGGGGTTATTGATCTAAGGTGGTCAAATGTAGTGTATCTTCGAAGTTTTTCTGGGAAAAAAAAAACCTATTTTTACTTCCAAACCCAGCTGCTTTCATTAGCCTCTTCTTGCATGAAAATTTGACTTGTTACTGATTTCTTACTTACAAGATTTATGATTTGTTAACCTATCTCTAGTCATGCCAACAGCTGGACATACACACACACATACATAAGCAAAACACAGTGCTATTAACCTTGATATAGGTTAATTTGTCATATAAAAGGGGTTTCTAGGGTTTTAAAGTATTTTATCTGCATCTAGTGTGTGTTATATATATATATATAAAAAAAACAACATTTAAAAAAAATCTTCAGTAAAATGTTCATATTGTGCAAGACTTGAAGACAGCTACACTGGAACATTCAAGAGAACTATTGAAGCCAGTAAGAGTTTCAAGTATCCAATAGGACTTTTTCAGGCAAAGCCTTGTAAGACATGGATACAGCATTTAGGACACAGGGCGATAGTGACAAGGGACTAGAAATGACTTATGTCTCCAACATATTCTTATAGGTATGAACAATTAATTCCATATTGTTGCAACCAGATGGAGCTTCAGTCTGTCTAAAAATCTCCATATTTGTTAATGTCATGTCATTTTAGAATTTGAATAAGAGATTTCAAGCATTTCTGCTACATATGACCAGGCAGATCATGAGTTTATACCATTGATACGCAAAAAAGCTACTGGTTTCAGTCTACATGTGGATGAGTGAATCTCTGTGGCAGATTTTTTTCTCATAGTTCATCAATCTCCTTTTGAGTCTGCGAGAAGCCAAAATTCAGTTTGAAACTTAGGCTTTTCTCAGATCCTTTGTAAAACCACTAATTTACAAATGATTCACACTGAGAATGCACAGTTCTGAGTTGTGAAAGTCTAACTGTCTTCAGGTAAAAATTATGTTGGAAACCAGAGACAAAAAAAAAAAAAAATACTATGAAAAATATTCAGATATCTTTAGTGGTTTTTCCAATATGTGTGAAAACCCGATCAGTTTAGTTTCGATTTTTGCTACCAAAAGAAGGGAAAAAAAAAAAAAATAAAAGAGCTGAAGTGCATGTCCTTTATTACTGTAGCTGTTTTCAATTTCTCCAGAGAAGCAACTGCATGTTGTTGATAAGTTGATATAAATTTCTGAAGAAAACTTCAACACAGCAGGTACCAGCCCAACTGCAGCATCACAGAGCTAACACATTTGCAGGCACATGAAACCTGAAGCAGCGCCAGTTTGTAGAATCCCAGTACTGTCAGACACAACCACACGTCAAGGCTTTACTTCACATAATCTGCGTCACATGCCACCAAGCTCTGTAAGCCACCAAAAGCTTCCTTGCACGCTCTAACAAACTTGTAATCAAACACGAGTTTACGGAGGTGTGAAGTCCTGCAAGAGGAGGACAGGAGAACAGCAGATTGCTGAGGTATAGTAAATCACCCTGGTGATCCTAGCAAGCAAATCATACGCAGCCCTTCAGAGAAAGGCAAAAGAAAGGCTACATATTCCTGCCAATCTGACTGTACTGGGAGGGAGCGAGAGTGGACAAGCTCTGCCTAAGAATGGAGGAAGCAAGTTCCTTGCTGGTCCCTTTGAGGAACCAGTTGAAACTTTGAAACACAGTATGTCTGCAATATGAGGAGGTTGCACACAAACTGCATTTCAGTCTTATGTCAGTCTCCTTCAGTTACACCGCCATGCTGGATATCCAAACACTTGTATTGCAGTTTCCCTGTTCCAGAAATTCACGAGTTTTAATCATAGAAACTCTTCTATGAATTATTATATTCAAGCAATTTTAGCTTTTTCCATTGCTATTATGTGCAAAAAATATAACTCCAAGAGTAATGAGAAACCTTCTGCTAAAATCCATTCTATTCATAATTTTAGAACCACTGCTCTTATGCACTATTACCTTTTCAGTTAAACAGCTGTTCTTTGTCTTTAACAATCCTGAATATATTTCTGAGGAATCTTCCTGTCCCCTCTCAACCTTTGTTTGTTTAGGCTTAACAAACTATCTCATTTAATCTCTCTTAGGAGATTAATTTTCCATTCCTATAAGCATACCAGTAGTCTTTCTCTTCCGTTTTAAGGTTATCTTTCATGAATATAAGTGACCAGAACTTTGTATAAAATAAATAAGGCCTTGTCACTGCTTTTAACAATGAAAAAAACATGGATAGCACATCTTACAATTATACTAGATTTTACAATTACCATAGAATTTAAAAGTTGCTCTACATGGCAACTGATAATCATGCAGGAAAACTATTATGTCCATATTTCCACTACCTTCAACTGATAAATACATATTATATTCAAGAAAAAAAAATCTAGTTACTCATCCATAAACCATTGCTTTTGCAATCTGTGCTATTAAATTTCATCTCATCACTTGCATTAGCAAAATCATCTGGTTTCCCTTTTAACAAAGGATGATCCAATCCTTTGTTAAGGTGATGCTTTCCCATTTTATGTTTTCTGTACAACTCCCAAATAAATATGCACTTCTTACTCCTGTATCTATCTCCTATATCACTAACCAATATGTTAAATGGTGATTGTTCCTGAGACCAACCATGAAAATATTTGTGATAGTCTCTCCTTTGAGCAGCTTCTTGCTCTTGTCACAGTTCTCTTGTAAAAATAATTACTAACTTCAAAAATAAAGTACAATCCATTGTCATCATCTAAAAAATCTATTACCTAATTTAAAAAAATACTGGGTTTATCTAAGATGATCTACCGTTGTGAAATCAATGTTGTAATCAACCTGTATTCGATTTCTCTTCATGTTCTTTTCTTTAAAATGTGTTCTAAACCTGCATACTGCTGAAATTCCGTTTGAAGTCTGTAGTTTCCTGGATCACCGTTTTGCTTCATTTTTTAGGTATAGATACTATACTGGCTGTTCTCAATCTTTGCATTGTAAACACACATTAAAAAAACTCTTGATACTAGGGTTGTAGTCAGTATAAAGACTGGATGCCGTCCAAATTCTCTGATTCTGAAGTATAGAAAGTTAATTTTTTCTTTTGCTTGGATATAATTTCTATTGCTTTATCCTCATTTTCTTTAGATACCTTTTGTTGTTGTAGATTGAAACCGTTCAAAACAGCCATGCGGCTCTGGAAACTCTTCAACTTCAGAAGGCTTTTTGAATGTATCATTGAGTTTGTAGTATTCAATAGAGTAATAAAAAAAAAAAATTCATGTCACTACATTTCATGCTGCTCTTGCAGACAGGGATTGGGAAATTTGGAAACCACAGAATCATCACTTAAGAAGGCAAGAAAAAAATTTAATCTCCAGAACTGGGTCTATTACAATTCAGAGACTTACAAACATGAAAAATTCAAATGATGGAACACCTCCTGATCTGCATGGCCTTAGAGAAACCATCAGATGACAAGTATCTAGGCAGGGCAACAGCTTGAACCTGTGACTGAATTTGGAAAGAAAGAATATTTGTGAGGGATAGGAATGGATAAGTGATCTGACATTATTCTCCTTAATTACCACCTTTACTGAAAGGTGGTATTTATACACTTGATCAGGTCCATGGTTAGCCTTATCTCTTTTCTTGACACCTCACCATCAGCGTATAGAAGAACCAGTTCCTCCCAGTTTTTGTTTATATGATTAACAGCTTCAGACATTTGTTTTCTTCACTAATCCAGAAAGACTTGAGAACAATTTAATTTGTTTTCTATAGATGCTGATATTTTGAAGATGAACAAACATTTTAAAGAGTTTACAAACAATAAACTCTTTGCTCTTCCCAAGAATTCTACACTTTTCCCTCTAGATTTTCCACTTAACAACATTATTGCCTCTTTGAATTACAATAATTCCATGTCTGGTAATGATCCTCAGTGTATGAATTCTCAATTTATTGAATCCAAGTCCTCATCCTATTAACTGGCATTCCTATGTATCCCTAACTTGCCTTTCTAAAATCCCAAGCTTTGATATGTCCTTTATTATTGCAGTAGTTAAGCATCACACAACCACTGATAAATCTACTTTTTGAATTCCTCTGTAACAGACGAAAGCACTACCACTATTTTACAGAAAGACAATAAGGTAAATTGGTTGCCTATGGGATCCATGGCTGCAGTAAGAAACAAACCCTATACCTAAAAGCATCATAAGTGTGATAATTCTTATTCAAATTGATATGAACATGGGATAAAGGCATTCATATCACAACAGTAATCACCAAAATATGAACACAACAATAAATACAGTAAATACGAGCACAACAGTAATCATCTAAATATGAAATATAAACTTTAACCTACTAAGCTTCTCTTAATTGTACTCCACCCATTATTTCACAGTACATATTTCTCTTGATTCTCTGTACCTCTTTAACAAATATCATTTTTACCTGCTTACGCAATGTGGAATGACTTGAGACTTCAGGGTGAATGCGAAGTGCTTCAAAAAGCACGTATGTTCAAATCAGAACATGGTATAAATGAAAGCATGTTGATACTGTTGCTGATGTATTTTGCTTCTGTCTCTATTGCTTGCATAATATCAGTGCTTGGGCTCCCCTCAGTTCTTTGGAAGGTATACTCCCTTGGGGCCATGGAGATAACAACAGCAAACCCAAACCACCTGGAGACAGTATTTAGTAGATGATTAACCCAATGGTGAATCAGAATGTTTGAAACAGAAACAAGAAAACAGCAGGAAATAACTTGCACTATATGGCTGGAAACTACAGTGAAATCCCAGCCCTATCAAAGTTAACGCTTAATGCAGAAATTCATTCTTAATATTTATGATCTTTCCTGAATAGTTCTAATGTCATTTATTTTATGTATGACAAATTTGAGATGAAAAAATGATATGCAACTATGTATCAGTTAACATAATAGTCATGCCCGTACCTGTTTCCTTCTGTGTGCTCACATTTGCTGGAAATTTATAAAGATTCTTTTTTGTGATAATACGAATGAGAAACCTGTAGAAACTTACCTCTTCTTCCTTTAATGCTGACTCAAGGTTGGGGTTTGGTTGGTTGGTTTTTGTTTTTTTTTTAATAGCTATACAACCAGAACAACCATGTTGGGAGAACAATGAAATTATTCATTATGGCTTTATTTATTGCAAAAGCATCGAAAAAGAAACCAGTGTCAATCAAGTCTTAATATCTGTTGCTAGGAGAATAAATTAGGAGAAGCTTACAGCACTCAAGCTCCAAGGATATTCCCCTGGTGTGGACACAGAGAGCATGCTCAGTAGAATCCACCTGGCTTCATCAGAGCTGGCAATCTTTCATATCATCATCAGGGTATCATTTGGATCAGGTTTCATGCTATTTCAGCTGAGGGGATGGTTGAGGCAGGGTAGAAGGTCAGAGTCTGAGTGGGCTCATGAATCATGGCTAAATATTCTCAGTGGGTGCCAACTTTTAAGAGCTACCATTGACAGCACCCATAGGGCTGGAGTCTCCATTGAGCAGGGTCCCAGATAATTTTTTGTTTGTGTGTTTGTGATATTTTCTTATCTGTGTTTGATGTTATTCATGCTGGTGAAGTTATATATTTAAAGGAGACCTGAGATTTTGAGGGGAAATTGTGTCTTTGGATTTTTTTAGAAGAGACAAGTACATAACATCCATAGGAGGAGTCCTATACAGGGGAGGAAAGAGAGAGGAAGTAACATGGGAACTTTCAGTATTCTCTATTATCTTGATAATATGGGCTTTGTCAAGCCTGAAGTGAAGAACCCATCAGCCTCTCTCTGAGCACAGCCTTAAATTGAAGCACAATTGTGCTTCACTGGGAAGTCACTGGGACTACTCATGATGATCCACATAAATTAGGCAAGTGCCTAAATGTGATGTAGGACTACGAAAATTCCATTTAGAAAATGCCAGGAGGTTTTTGAGGACGTTAAAAGAAATCTTTGTGGATTTTTTTTTTTTTTAATTATTATTATTTTTCTAATGAAGTCACTGTGCTGCTTCTGTAACACTGTAAAGCTTTCTGGATTGGAGGTCTCTGGCAAAACTCTGGGGGGGAAAATACCCCTTCAAGGCAGCGGCATACTAGGTAATGTCAAATGAAAAACAAACAAACAAAAACCTCCAGTAAAAAAAAAAAAAAAAAAAACTGAAGCAAACCAAACCACATTTCCCCCCATTTCAAGGGAGATTTTTTTTTTTTAACTGAAACTATTAAATAAATATGCTTGTATTTTACAAGTGTGCTTGCTGCAAAAAGTGCAATCTATTTGTACAGCAGAGAATGAAGGACTTACTGCTTAAAGGCACAAAAAGGGTGTGTAATAGGATTCTGGCATCTTCCCAGACAGCTTGCAGACAAATTCAGAGATGAACAGAGAAGTATCCTTTTTGAAGTATATTTGGCCAAGGTCTCATTCACAAACAGATAAAACCAACACATTTCTGCATGATAAGGGTCAACAGAATAGCGTATTAGTTTGAGAAGAGAACCCATCTGCAATTTTCTTATATAAAAATATACGAGGACACAACAGGAAAGCTGTCAGCATGACAGTTGGAGGATTCTGCCAAGGAGCCAGATGCTAGTGTCAGAAGAACATGTTCCACAGCTTGGCATCTGGGTTCTCTCATTGCCCTCCAAGAAGGAAGAAAAGGAGGAGTGATAAGATATGCCTAAATGAATAAAACTACAAGCAATTCCACCACCACCCCCAACATGCTCAAATCACTACTTCTTTTAGAAAATCCTCAGCTACATGTTCTCCTACATCTTTTAAATCAAAATGGAAGGTGATAAATTTAACCCACTAATGTTTTAGTATGTTTAAAAAGCACTTGCAGTTCTGAATACATGTCTTACATGATTTTAACTGTGTCACTGCAATTTATTTTATTTCTTGTTGGCTTTCCACAACTTTGCTACAGAATAAATTTCAAGCTCAATTTTTAGCCCATGTCATTCTTGGGGAGGGGAGGATATAATACTGCATTTACAGTTGAGACCTAAGAATAATTACAACTTTATACTTTCCCTGAATAGTTACTAACTGGGAAAAGCTCAGTAATATCAAGGGCAAAATGCTAAGGGTCAGTTTAGGATGCAGCAAGTTCATGTAGCACCATAAGGAATCACCTTATTATGGGATGTGTGTAGTGGAAAAAAACACTGTTCTTAAGATACCTTTGAGGAAGCCATAGTTGCTACACAGGCCCCTTAATTATTCTTATCATAGAGTAGCAATGCTAAGGGTATGTTTGTAGTCCCAGGTCCTTTTGTCACATCCCCTTGTTATGGGCAATTAAGTAAGTCTTACCTTTGTATCCTTCTTCCTTTCCTGAGACTATCACCATGATGCCTGAAAATTGCAGCCTTCCTTAATTCTCAGGATATCTCTTTCTTCTGAAGACCAGCTCTGACTAGGGAGGACAGAGTGGTCCCATCCAGTAAGTTGGTTAGATCCCATGTGTAAAGCTTTAAAAATGAAGACCAAACTCCTGAAGTTTTTGAAATCTCTGCAAAAAGAAACCAGAAGACAGATATCATGTACTCTCACCGGTCTTGCAAAATAAGCTGGCTGCTGTCCTCTGAGCTGACGGGCATTTTTTAAGGTTAGACATTTCAGATTTACAAGTATCATTTGCCCTCATACCTTATTCTGCATAGGTATGTTGTAGCCACCACTTATATTGATCTTCTAGAGGGCATGGGACTGGTTTCCACCTAGGACTATTCCTAATTCAGACAAAACAGCAGATGATTGATCTCTCTCAGCACTTGCTAAGCACTTTAAGTCACCTCGAGTACTAGTCCATCCCCAAAATGCAGAGGGAATGAGGCATAAATGCTGCAATTTACAAGAAGTTTTATTCCTTCTCTATGCAATAATGTCTGGCATAGTTGCAGTATTTGCTATCAAAAAACTAATCATAGAATAGCTTGGGTTGGAAAGGACCTTAAGATCATCTAGTTCCAACTCCCCTGCCATGGGCAGGGACACCTCACACTAAACCATGTCACCCAAGGCTCTGTCCAACCTGGCCTTGAACACCGCCAGCGATGGTGCATTCACAACATCCCTGGGCAACCCATTCCAGTGCCTCACCACCCTAACAGGAAAGAATTTCTTCCTTATATCCAATCTAAACTTCCCATTTAAGTTTTAACCTGTTACCCATTGTCCTGTCAACCCCAAGTCCTTCTCCACAGGGCTGCTCTGAATCTCTTCTCTGCCCAACCCGTAGCTGTGCCTGGGATTGCTCTGACCCAGGTGTAGGACCTTGCACTTGGCATGGTTAAACTTCATAAGGTTGGCATCAGCCCACCTCACAAGCGTGTCAGGGTCCCTCTGGATGGCATTCCTTCCCTCCAGCGTATCAACCGAACCACACAGCTTGGTGTCATCGGCAAACTTGCTGAGGGCGCACTCAATCCCACTGTCCATGTCAGCAATGAAGATGTTAAACAAGACCGGTCCCAACACCAGTCCCTGAGGGGCACCACACATTGCTGGTCTCCAGCTGGACATTGAGCCATTGACCAGAACTCCCCTCACCAGTCCAGTGCAGGCACTCTCTACACCCCGAGCTCTGCACTGCAGCCTCCCCTCTCATCGGCTCTGTCTGGGTGCCTACGCTGGCCACCGCCGGGGCAGCCAGAGTAGAGCTCCCAGAGCAGGCCCCGGTCATAAGGCGAGGGCCCCCCAGCTCCCTCGCACTGCCGTGCAAACTGCCTCGACCCACCTTGCTCGCCGCGCTCCCTGGGGCAGGCTCTTAACCAGTCAGGGCTGGCGCCGCTCCTCCTGGCTCCGCCCCCTGTGAGTCCCTGCTTGCGTCAGCTGAGCTGTGCCCACCCCCCGAGCAAGTCCCGTCGATGACTTAGGGCTCCCCCGGTGGCGGCAGGACGCTGAGCTTCCCCCAGCTCAGGTGTTGGTGGCGTCCTCTCTCGAGCTGCTCACCTCAGCCGATGACCTCAATGACCGAGCCTTTCCAGGTACCACCAACACAGCACCTACAGAAATGACTGGAAAAGCTTTTTCAGCAACAGAGGGGAATTCAGAAGATAGTACTGCAAGTTCCATCCCAAGTTGTCTTGCTAACAAACTGCTGGGAGAGTCTGTTATAATTCTCTGCGGGAACAGAAGAAGGAAAGCAAGCTACCACCACTACTGTATTACCTACCCTTTGGACGCATGATAAACTATGCACTTAAGATAAAAACTTACGGTGCTTGATCCCAAAATTAAGACAGTGCTATTCATATAAACACAGTCAAATAATTCTTTAAAACTGAAGCCTACATCTGAAAAGTGAATCTCTGTATTTGTTCTGCCCAAGTGACTTCAGGAACACATTTGCTTAGTTCAGAAATCAGGTGGCGATTTTAGTCACTGTCTACTTTAAAATCCATTTGGGTTCTGAACATCAAACTTCTTGCTGTCTTTTCCATCAGCGCTGCCAGTGAGGTGTCTGCTGTTAGAACCCCTCTGACAATGGGATGTGGGACATGAGGTGAAATAGATCTCAGCTCAGTCTTCTGTGGCGGACTTTGCCTCCGCAGAGCTTGCAACACAGTAGGAAACTCAGTCAAGTCAGTGGATACAGTACAAAGGCACATATGGGAAACAGATGAGGAAAGGGTCCATTTCTGAACTAACACTTCCTATTTTAATTTAATTTTCTGGCCCAAATTTGGGCTACATTATGTTCTTAGTCTTACTGATGGGATATAAAGCTGAGTTTTGGAGCAGAGAAATTATGCTTCTTAATCTTCTAAACCACTCTAAAAGAAAAAAAAAATTGAAAATTTAGATCAGCCAGAGCTGACCCCAAAATTAATCTTTTCTTGTTGAAAGCAGATATAAATCTGATCCAAAAAGGAGGAACATTTTGGTTACTATTTGCTTCCATTGTCACGATTGATAGAATGGGTTGTATTCAAAAGATGTTACCAAGTCCATTTTTTATTTTAATCGCCTTTTAATTTTATGAAGTGAAAACATATCTGACCTTGTCAAACCAAGGCTGTTCAATTCTATTTTAGTTTACTGCGAGGACAGGA